CTGACAGGGGTCATTGCGGTACGAATTTTTTCTTTACTACTTTACAGTACGTACTTGAATCGTAGCGATACTAGCGCACTGAAAGCAACGTTATGGACAGTTAGTTCGAAACTCTGGAGAGTCTCTGTTTTTTAGAATCAAGCAACCTCTCACAATACTGTACCAAAACGATTCGGAACGATTGTATTACTGAATCTCCCACTTACTGCTTGGTTAAAAGCCTGGAATCATCTTCGTTGCGGCAAACTCTAGAGGCAGAAACGAAGCAAAAGAGATATATAACGACCATCTTCCACATCTCGTRCCACACAAAAGGATGTCGCTCTCTGTATCGTCCGGTTCGGAAGACAGGGACATGGCGGGATCAACGGGGAAGCCCACCGTCAACCTGAATTTCGTAACGTTCCAGGCGTATGTAATTGGAATGTAAGTCGACTCGACTCGAGTGGCGCTCCACTCTCTAGATGCCATTGCCTGTCTCGCTTCGAAATGAACAAAACACGATGCAACGCACAGCACAGGGGTTCCGCTTCGTTTCGTTTCGTTTCTCACCACCTTGTTGGTTCTTCTGTTGGCGATGAACGAATTCCCCCAGGATTTCGCAGATCGGTTCCAGGGTAACGATGGACACGGTCCGTCCGCTGAACATGTTCCTGGGCATCACGGGTCCGTCCTTTTGTTTCTCTCCGGCCGCATTCAACGCCCCGGTAACAAAGATCGACAAATCTACGTACGAAAAGTTTACTTCCCGGCTGAGGCTTAATTTTGCCTTCTTCATCTCGAACTACGCGCTATTRACARTGGGTGTTGGAGTAGTAACAGCCCTGATGCACCCTGGAATGGTGGTGTCGGTGGGCGTGATGTATAGCCTGTGGGCGCTACACCGGTTTTTGATTTCGAACGAATTGATTCTATTTGGGAGAAACATAGGGACGCTGGTTTCCATTTCCCACAGATCTACCGCGCTCACCATTCTTACCGGATTAGTGGTGGCGTGGAAGTGCCTGCGGCCCACCATCAAGGTGGTTTCCATTAGCGGTGGCATCATAATGCTGCACGCACTGCTCCGTGATCCATCCCACGTCACCTCGGGTGACTTTCGCAGCGGAGGAGGGAGCAGCAAATCTAGCGGCAGCGACGACGAGAGCGCCGGAAACAGCGACGATTCTGAGGTCTTGGTTGAGACTCCGTAGAGAAGCACCAAAGAGGTTGAACGGGGAGCAAACCCAACTACACATCAACAAGCGAGCGAGTCGTTGCTGCAACACGGGTCCACCTGTGCCTGTTGATRCGTTATGCATTATATATWATACATACAAAATTTTCATGGCGAAGATCTCCAACAATTTTCAATATCATCATCACTGGATSATACTGATAGGAAGAGGTACCGGCAATACAAATGCATTCCTAACCGAGTGACCATGAAAGAAGGGCTCAGACTCGGAACAAAGGAATGGTGATTACCAGATATTGGAAATATTTGGCATTACAATGGTTCTCTTTCAGAATGTTGGATATCATTATTAGCTGCACCTCTAGACACTAGTAGTGAGATCGTCRTAATTCATACCAATTTCATTCTTGATCAACAAAAAACAAAATAGGATTACGATGTGTGATTCGCAGTAATTTATTTCACACATACCGCCCTACAGAACGAAACTGACACAACAGCTAGTGAAGCAATTCGAGAATTGAGAAGGGAGTTACTGAGAGTTTGAAAACGTAGAAGCATCAGACTTTTGCCCTGAAGCTCCTAGTGACTTGAAAACATAAATATTTTAATACCAGGCAACGGCACCAACCGTACGGTACGACATAAAAGTCTATGGCAGCTCTTTTSTGAAAGAAACACTGACGTACGTCGTACTTCACAGTGAAAATCAACATTCCAACTTTGAACCTGCTTGAAAGAAGTCTAGTTTGAGAAGTTGACAAAAATAATCTTATTCTTYAATTGGACCATGGGGACATGTGTATATCTCTGGCTATTCGATTCAGTTGAAAAATGTGCGTAACAAAAAAGTGCAGATTAAAGTAATCGATAGATGAGAAAACTTGCTCCCTCTGTCTTCGCTATATTACATGGACGTCATCGCGGTTTGGACAACGTCTACCGCAAGAGGGGCCTCGGAAAGAAGATTAGGCATAGATCCAGAAAGGATTGCGTTTTGCGCCAGATAGGCGGCGATYCCGGCGAAGTAACCAATGGCAGCTCCCRCACTAACTTTCTTCGCATACCACAGAAAGTCAACTTTCTCCAATCCCATGAGCGCAACACCACTGGCGGAACCGATGACCAAAATCGAACCTCCAGTTCCGGCACAAAGTGCAATCAGTTGCCAGAGTTTGTCGTCTGTACCGTAATCAACGAGGTCGTACATTCCCATCGTTGCAGCAACCAAAGGTACGTTGTCCACCAAGGCTGACGCAATACCAATCACGGTRGCAATGATATCCAAGCTGGGCAAGTTGTCGCTCAGGAACACAGCTAGCTCCTTCAACAAACCACTCTTGTCCAAAACCCCAATGCTCATCAAAATTCCGAGGAAAAAYAAAATACCCGCGGTGTCGAGTTTTGCCAGYGCTTGGGGAACCTTAAGGTCCTCGTCTCCTTCTTCGCCCATATGAATCACATCGGTCAATGTCCAGATGGCACCGAGTCCGGTCAACATCGCCAAGTAAGGAGGAAGGCCAGTAAATTCTGCAAATATTGGAACGCAAAGAAGACTGGCGATTCCACTCCAAAACACCAATAGTCCGCGCGGAGCAAGTTCAGATGGCTCCGCAAGATCCGAGTTTTCAAGCGAGTCGTCTTCCTCCACTTGGTTCACAAGGAACGCAAGAGAGACTACCAGACAAACAACAGAGGGCAAAAATAGCTCTGTAACGGTTGGGACTGTCGATAACTGGTTGTTGATCCAAAGCATGGTTGTAGTTACATCTCCAATCGGCGTCCAGACACCTCCTGCGTTGGCAGCGACGACTACCATACCTCCGAAAAGTTTTCTGTCGTCAACATTGGGAACAAGTTTCTTTAGCAGCGAACACATGACAATTGTTACCGTCAAGTTATTAAGTATGGCAGACAAGAAGAACGTAAGGAAGCCAATCGTCCAAAAAAGACTCTTTTTCGATGTCGTCTTAATGTTGTTTGTCACGACCTTGAAACCCTGGTGGGCATCAACGACTTCAACGATTGTCGAAGCCGCGAGAAGGAAAAAGCAGATGTCGGAAACCTCCGASAGTTGTTCGCCTAGCTGCGTGATAACGGTGTCAGATGCAACGCCCGTACTCTCGAAATAATCGGCGTACGTGACCCATAAGCCGGTGCTCATGAGAAGCGCGACGGCGGCTTTGTTGAACTCAAAGACTTCCTCGAAAATTATCCCAATGTATCCGATTACAAAAATCGCAATCATCGCAAGGTCCGCATGGTCATGGAGCCACTCCGATCGCGAAAAAAACAACGCCAGAAATGAAAAAGAAAGTGCGGCGGTACCTGCTCGAATGATGTCGGTCTTGACCTTTTCAGGGTCGTCTCTCGCCGCCGCATTTGCCGACGACTTCAGTTCTTCTTTCATTTGTTCCAATGGACTCGAAAGATACGGATATTTTTTGGCGATGCTCTGAAGGCTAAGGCGTTCATCTTTTTGAACGACAGACATGACATCTTGCATATTAACCACGCCGATGATCTCGCTCTTCTCCGTAAGTCTGTAGTTGTCGACCTGGTCCGCAACGACCAAGTGCCTAACGTTCGCTTGCTTCATGGAGGCGATGGCCACATTGGCGGCATCATCCTTGCTTAGAGCAATGACTTGATCAATGGGTGTGATGTAGTCTTTGACCGACGAAACCAGGTATTTCGCAGCCTCTTCCTCGTTTTTCGATGCCTTGACTCGCTCCATGGAGAACTAAACAAGGCAAAGCATAACATAACATATGATAACATACGATAACAATACAATAACATACAATAAAATAACATAAAACAACAAAAACTCGAGTCAGAGAATTTTCGATCCTTCGGAACTACCGTATCATTTTTCTTCTCTTTAWTTCAGCACGAGGTTCAGATCCAACAATGCTTACCTCGATGTAATCCGTTTCGGTAAAAATCCCAAGCAGTTCGCCGTTTTCTCCGTCTTCGAACACGAGCGCAACATCTGCCTTTCCGTTAGTAATCCCGTCCATGACATCAGTCACAATATTGGAAGCCGTTGCTTTGTAGTAACCACCGTTGCGATCAGCAACATTCAGAACCCGAAATAGAGGGCTCGAAAAGCCGAATCCAAAGGGTGTAATGTTGTTCTGGCCGAGGGGCAAGATTTCTTCGGGATCTACTTCCTTGCCGACCATTTGCAGGGTGCTGACGGATGCAGTTTTGTCCGCAGCCGATACAGAGCCATGCTTTCTGGCCGTCGTCTTCACCATGGAGCCAAAGTGCTTTGTTGCTGGTTGTAGGATCGAGGTAGGGCGAGAGCCTACAGTTGCTGTGAAGGCATTCGCCTTCAGGCCGTAAGCGAGCAACAGAGTCAGCGATAAGGAGCTCGTCGAAAACATATCTAATGCGGTTCTAGTTGTTGTTGGTTGTTCTGGCAACGAAAATCGGGAACCAGTGTGTGCGTTTTCGACACTCTGARATCAACTATKGTTGTAGTTTCTGTGASAATGCAACTAATGGGATGGTTGGCAGTTGGAATCCAAATGCTAATGATAATAAAGTATTATTCCGCACGATAGTACCACGACTTGCTGGCACCGTGCTTCTYGCATTTTTCATCATGATTTCCGATCTCTATTCAGCAGATCGGAAAAATTGCGGGCTCCAGMAGCAATAACGGTCAATCCCTCGAGAACCACACAAACAATCGCATGATTCAAAAGAAGCACAAGCACTTTCCATCAGAACGGTATCGGTACACGGATAGGGACGGTACTGAAACCTACGAAACTTGCAAGTAGGGAATCATMAATACATTACGGTACAKTACAGCAGTCCAGTGCAGYTCGTTCCGTACGTACGGTACGAGTAGTAATACAATGATGACCAACATCAAATTTTGAGAACGCATATCTTTTGTGAAAAATCTCAAATCACGCATTGTTCGAAAAGTCGCGCGCCCGTCAAAACATCCAGTGACGTCATAATGCATTCCCAGCTAACACGCACTTACCGGTACTGTGCGCACATTACGGAGTCGATCCAAATTCAAAAAGTGAACGAGCCCGTCGTAGGCTTTGTGGTCGTTCAATTCAAAAACCGATCAAAATTGGTGCGAATGCCAGAAAACAATATCGCCAGATCGGGCTCGGAAAGAAACAATCCAAATCGTACTCAAGAATCAAGGATACCGAGTATTTTGCCTCTGTCCCCAAAAGTTATTCGCCTCACACACTCTTTGTCGAACATAATCGAAATACGGACCTCAGTATTACTCAGCACGTGACAACAATATGAAGCTCTCCACGCAACTCTTGCTRGCCACCCTTGCTGCTCAGAACACKGCTCTGTGGGCGTTTTCCGTACCCTCGATATCGGCGAGTCGATCGGCTTCGACGGAATTGGCCGCGAAGGCAAGCGATGAGGATGTCCGGGTCGTTGTTACCGGGCTCGGCGTTGTCAATGGATGCGGGGTTGGTCACGAAGATTTTTTCGAATCTTGCCTCGAGGGAAAGTCAAGCATCGACACGGTGAAACGATTCGACGCCTCACACATGACCTGCCAGATCGCCAGCGAGGTTCCCGACGAGATGTTCGACCCGAAGGACTTTTTTACAAACCCTAAAAATGTCCGATCGAACGATCGCTTCACCCACTTCGCCGTTGCGGCAGCTCGACAAGCGCTCAAAGACGCTGGAGTCGGGGATACACCGGAAACGCTAGAGAATCCCGAGRCAATCGGTGTCATGGTGGGAACCGCATTCGGTGGAATGCAAACCTTCGAAGAGCAAACTCTCAAACTGGCGAAGAACCCCGAACGACCAAAGGTAAATAGTGTATCGTTGTTGATAGAATGATCCACACCAAACTCATGGTAATGATACTGCAGTTCGGTATTGWATCAGTGAATTTGAAGCTTGGGTTTAGATAAAAATGTCATTTGTTTTGTTTGTGTCTCTCAATTTTTCTGGATAACGTTTCTGTTTGAACGAAACGGTTGAACTATCTACCGATTCTTCCATTTTTTCTATGGTTCATTACCAATAACTGGTAGGTGTCACCATTCACTATTCCTGCGCTTCTTGGAAACACCGCATCCGGAGTTATCGGTATCGAGACGGGGTGCAAGGGACCAAACTATGGCGTAACCTCGGCTTGTGCCAGTGGCAGCCACGCCATTGGAGAGGCCCTTGGGATGATCCGCGACGGAAAGTGTGATCGAATGCTCGCGGGGGGGACCGAGGCCACAATGACACCCCTGTGCTTCGCGGGATTCTGTGCCATGAAGGCGATGAACTCAAAGTTCAACGACGAYCCGAAGGCGGGATCCCGGCCCTTTGATGCAAACCGTGGTGGCTTTGTCATGGGTGAGGGCGCCGGTGTGATTCTCCTGGAAAGCCTCGAATCAGCAAAGGCGCGCGGTGCCAATATTTACGCTGAATTGGTAGGATACGGAGCAACATGTGATGCGCACCATATCACCACACCTGCTCCAGAGGGCCGTGGGCTCGCCGCTGCCATGGAGATGGCCCTCGATGAAAGCGGCATCGAGAAGACCGACGTCAGCTACGTCAACGCCCACGGGACATCTACGGCATACAACGACAAATTCGAAACCATGGCGATCAAGAGCGTATTCGGCGACCATGCAAAGGCCAAGGATGGAAGCTTCGTGGTCTCGTCGACAAAGTGTGTCACCGGCCACACTCTGGGAGCTGCTGGTGGAATCGAGGCCGTGGTAGCCTGCAGGAGCATCAAAGACAACATCGTTCCTCCGACCATCAACTATGAGACAGAGGATCCCGAATGCGATCTCGATTACGTTCCGAACGAGAAGCGAGAAATGGAGGTCAAAGCTGCCATGAGCACAAATCTAGGCTTCGGAGGACACAATGCAGCCATTTTGTTTAAGAAATATGAAGAGTAATATTGATAATGGAATGAAGCGACTTTGCGTAGGTACTTTTTTTAGGGATCGCCCAAAACACCTTTGACCAAACTMTTCCATGAAGAACGATCCGGCCAAATTCTAACTGTAKTACATCGTATTTACAGTTGTGAATTGGAATCTATGGTTTTCTCAGTTCTGACGTGATTGGAATCTTTAGAATAGAACTKCATTTCTTTAGAAATATCCCGTAGGGATACCCGGCGCCRCCTTGATTGCACATCACTCCKGGTACATGGATTGTGCTGGCATTCATGCGCTTGTATACTATGCTAGCTATGGTATTCTCGMCAGTTCAAAGGGGGGAATAATTGAATTTACATGAAACWCTTGCCCTTCTTTTGCTGATGYTGGTCACTATCCAGGGTAAATATRTGCAAATTACTACTTTCTTTTAAAAAAATATGCTCAAATCTGAGATTTTTTAAGATTAGAAAGCTAGCATGATTTGGACTTAAAAATGCTATATATTAAATTGCATTATCTGTCATGCTCTTTTAGTTCCTCAAAATAGTGAGTTTTCTTGTCAGATGGTAATCAAAAGTTGTCAACAGTTAGTAACTATGAAGTACTAGTATCAAAAACTTGATAAAATGCTTGATAAGTTTTCAATAGTAGGAATTTCTGGCATTCTAATGAACAGCTTATCTGTCGTCCATTGTTCTATTTCATTGATGAATCAACTTAGGAGGGAGGTGCCGCCCCTCGGAGCAGCTGGGAGCATTCCTCTCCCCCAAAGTTTTGGTTCTGGTCCACATAGCACCTCTTCTAGTTCAAAGGTTAAATACAATATTAAGATTTTTTTCAYTGATGAATCATCAGAAGATTCAAAGATGATTATGTTGTTGGGTTTCTCATGTTCTAAATTTTCTAAATTTGATGGACTRTCATGGTAATTCTAGATTAACTCTCAGACTAAATCTAGTACAATAATTTTCAACTACTTYCGAACCATCTTCCCGTCCCTCTATGAGATTTCTAATTTCAGTTCTGAATTTTYAGTGTTCCTACTAGAAGGGTAAAACATTGAGATATTATTTGAAGYTTTTTATGTTTGAGATCGAAACAGCATGAGAAACTGTAGCAACTGCTTTTCACACTGTTGTGACATGCATGCTGTACAGTAACTTCCTTGAGCTTTMGGTGAAATWTTTTCATGCGGAACCATTCTATCTTATCGTATCCAATGAACCGCACCATTACGTTCCTTTTCGATGAAAACTTTCAATTATCAGAAARTCGTCATCCACGCTTCATTTTCATCGGTATCTTGATGTTTAACCATTCAATTGAAGTCGGAAGGAAGCAGTGTCTCGCAAGCGATCGAAAGAAGAACAGCCCRGCTCGATAGAACGGTTAGAGCTGACAACTTTTGCACTGACATCCAACACCATGGCGAGCTCTCGAGCAACCGACACAGGGACACGACGGGCTGTGCGTAGTGGCGCAATCCTCACAGGCGCATCCCGGTGCGTGGGCAACACTTCCAGGCTGTCGTTTAGGGGTTGTGGCCGTAGCTGCTAATCTCGAATTCGAAACAGAAGGGGTGGAAAAAGCCGTAACCGGGRTCCTAAGCTGGGAAAAGGCCTCCGCCTCAGGGGTATTTACAACAACGCAGTAGCCGAATACACAAGACGTTGCTGCTGCGGCGATGCATTTGCTTGTTKGTTTCATTTTATATCCTTCGTTGAGGGGTAACCAAATAGTGTTTGWGAATAACGTAAAAGGTCGTTATCTTTTAGAGGTTGTCGGGGTTGCCAGGTGCTTTCAACGAGTCCACTCGTACTTTCGAAGCTGCTGTAGCGTGAAGTCGCGGAATGCATCAACTGTGCCGTACGAACTCGTATGGCTCGYATGGAACGTACTACTCGTACGAGTACGTACTCGTACCTGTACCAAAAAGAAAAGATGATGATGAAGATRTCAATCTAAAAACTGACGACAACAATTGGATTAGAGAGTCTGAGTTTTGAACAGCATGGTGCATAATGTTCTTACGTACAGTACTCGTACAAGTACGAAWAACGCTASTACGTACTGTATTTTTCATATCTTTTCTTACGTCATCACTCGTCTCTACAACAAACACATTCTGTTCGGTACCATACGGTACGTACGAGGTAGGAAGGCATATGTGTTGCTGAAAAGTGAAATCGGTTATGAGTACAAATAAACGCRCCAGTTTTTTAGCAGTGAGCCCCTATCTTTGCTTGCTTCTTATTGCTAACAAAGCACCAATCAGAATTAGAAAATCCATTGGCCAGAAAGGGTTTTCTTTCCTCTTCACAATGATGTGCACATTGCCATGTGAATTTTGAAGAGAACCTTTACCGGCTTGTTGATTTCTCTGCACACGAAATTTTTTTGTACTAAAAAATCATTAACACAGCAACCACATCAAGGGACCTGTCACACCCTCCAGTATCAAGAACAAGAACAACAAGAACAACAAGAACAACAACAAGAACAACAACAACAACAACAACAACAACAACAACAACAACAACAACAACAACAACAACAACAACAACAACAACAATAGACACTATTCTTGTTGGGACTGTGGCAAATGGACAAGCCGTTGCTGCATGGTGTACTAAGTGTACACAAATTGCGGCTAGGGCCTTGATTACAGCTAAGGAAGAAGGTGAGGATTGCTCTATCAAGAAGAGGGCAATGGAATTTGCTAAGTTCACTGAAGAGGAATGTAACAACAGCAGAGCTCTTTGCAGAAGAGTAAATGGGATCACTGTGAACTGTAATGCTACAGCCAGGATGGATGCAAAGGAATTTCATGTATTCATGATGGATTTGAKTGTAAAGCTTTTTCAAGATGCAGCCAATCTGCCTTCCAAAAGAGTTCTCATCCTTGTGGACAGTGGGCCAGGACAAAAGGACCTCAGCTTATTGGCGAAGCTCAAAGCAAGAGGGTTCAATTTGCATGATGGTGTTCCCAATACTACGCATGTTACCCAGCCCACCAACCAGAACTACAGACCATCCAAGTCAATGTATATTAATTTGGAGACCCTGGTTTGTTTCAAGAGAGCACAAAAAGACAACGTCAGACAACACAATTTCCCCTTGCTTGTTTTTGGGAATCACACTACATCCAATGAACAAGTTCTTTTGGAGCCTGCCTATGACAAAGCATTTTCAGTTGCAAATTCCAAAGCAGTCTGGGCAAAAATTGGAATTGCACCATTTACAACAAGACAATGCTTRTCTGATAGTAAAGTTGCGCACAAGTTGATAGTACTGGAAGATGGTACCATTGACTTGACAGCTGATCCTAATACTATAGCATTGGTTGAGAATTAACAGAAGAATGCGAAAGTGGTAAAGTTGTTGAATGATGCTGGTTTTAATGGTAATGTCTCCCAAAAGTTTGCACCACAAAAAAATAGCTGTTTGAGACAGTCACTGTACCAAATTCCAGAGCGTGCCAGGATGCTTTGGGCTCAGCAAAATATTCCAGCCAATAGTTCATTATTACAKGAGGAGATACACTCAACACCAAAGATTATTTTATTGCTGAAGAGAGGAAGCAAAGGCAAGAGCACATCAAAGGCCTGGAGTCACTGAAGAATAAAGCCAAAGCAGTATCTTAGTTTAATACCAAGGTTACTAGGTTAATTGAAGAGTGTGCCTCCAAGGGGGAAAATGTTAACAATGAGGAAGATGCCAAGTCTCTACCAGTTTCTACACTTAAGTTATTGTGCAAGTGGAAGCAACAAAAGAAGATTCCTACAAAGAAACAAGAAGTGCTTGATCTTTGGTTGGAAGTGAAGGATATWTATTTCCCTCCAGAATTTGCTTGGAGTGATGAAGATGAGACCCAACTTCAAAGACTGAAAGAAGATGAGATTACAATTAGGGATACTGCTCWAGGAAAGGAAAGAKMAAGGCTATGAAAAGAATCCCTGAACTACATTGCAAGCATGGCTGAAGAAGAGAGAGCTGGATGCAATATGCCTGTTAATGTGCTTGAGGGACTGAAGGAAATGGTTGTTGCTGGTGAAGTTGCTGAAGTGTAAGAGCAGTTTCCAGTAGTAGTAAGCAATTTATGTTGTGTGATTTATGTTAAGAGAAATCTGTTAAGAGAAATCTGTTCTTGTTTCATGTTCATAGTCAGTGTCTGGACATCGATTTTGTTTCACCGATCCGAATTTTCATAAAGTGAGCCAAAAAAAACAGCTCAGAAGCTTGGAACCTTTGACAGAAAAAAAAWTAACCGTGAAAGGTTGAACTTGGGAAGGCAAATGAAGCCTATTGTTCCCTCCTTAGAGCCGTGTACAATTTGTACTGACTCCAGACCTGTCGCGACCTCATTTGCCTTCCTTCCTTGTACGCATTACTAGTCATTTAAAAAGATCTTAATATTATATTTAACCTCGTGGACTAGAAGAGGCACTATATGGCCAGAACCATAGCTTTTGGTGGAAAGCATGCTTCTAGTTGCTCCAAGGGGCGGCACCTCCCTCGAAGGCATTTTGATGGAGGTGCAACCAAGGTGTTGTTTGGGCTGGGGAATTAGTTGAAATATTTGTTCATAGTTGTTTGCATTGTTTGTTTGATTGCAGCAGAGACCAAAGAAATTTTTGGTGATGCGGAGGGTTTGTGTTGTTTCTGCTGGGGAATTAGTTGAAAGGTGTTGTTTGGGCTGGGGAATTAGTTGAAATATTTGTTCATAGTTGTTTGCATTGTTTGTTTGATTGCAGCAGAGACCAAAGAAATTTTTGGTGATGCGGAGGGTTTGTGTTGTTTCTTCTTGGAGTACGCGTCAAAGACCAGCAGCCCATGTTCTACGTATTACTAGTAGTCATAACTTTATCAAAAATAGTAATACTGTTGCAATTTCTTACTATAGTTTCTATACCAGCTTTGCATGTACCAAATAGATTTTCAATGTCACTTCTACTAGTACCAATATCTTTCACTGCTGGTTCCCTGCTCCCGCCATCCAAGTACCTAGCAATGCCAATGGGAAATGCTCTGTCATTCATCATTTTTGCTTCTTGAAAAAATTCAGTTCAAAATTGTCATAACTTAGTAAAAAATAGTGTTAGATTGATGTCTCTTTGTTATAACTGTATTATTTTTTAATTTGGATTGTTAGTGACAAGAAACTTCTTCTAGGTGTTTTTATTTACCTTGAGGTAGTAAACGGGAAAACCAAAAATATAYTTCTTGCTACAGAAAATTATTGGCATATTCACTAGAATCTTAAAAAATCTGGTTTAGGAACTACAGCTATGACTACCTCTAAGTTGGATAGTTTTAGTAGTGTTAGTATATAGTAAAAATGAGAATTAAAAAAAACTTGAGTGATTTTTTTCTTATTCCTGCCAAGGATAGAATATGAGTTTTTGATGTGTTGTGTACCCCTCCTTAATTTATGACCCCTGACAGTACCTATGTATGCATCTACTAGCCTGATAGGCCCTTKGAAGATTGTACTACCAGATGAAACTGAGTTAGTGATCAACACCCTCCTCATTTGCATAGACCCAGTTACCAACCTTCTTTTGTTGGAGATCATTATAATCAACAACACGACTAGTGAACATGTGGCCAARMAATTTGCAAATTKCTGGTTAKWRTAGTAGCTCAGTACCCCAGACCAAATGAGTGCATCCACYACAATGGTAGTGAGTTCATTGCTGGTGCCACATTCAARAGTCCGCTGAACCAATTTGGAGTGCAGACCATCCAATCCACTGTCAAAAYTGCRAGGGGAAACAAAAATGTAAAGGATCCTTCTGTGTGCCTGAATGTACAAGCGATATCAACTGCCCGGGTAAATATGATGAGTGCAASARSARYAATRA